CAACAGCAACAGCAATAGCAACAGCAACAACAATGGGACAACCTATATAAAGAGAATGACGAAAAATTGCAAAATACCGAAATGCATACATCAAAGTTGCTAACAAGACAAGCCGCACACATACGCGTACACACACACACACACACACACACATGCTCTCTGATACGCAAGCTTACATTAATGCGAGTGCATTAAAAGAGACAGAGAGCCGAGACACAACAAATTGTCGCAGTGGTAGTTAGCATTCGAGCATATATCTGCACACAAATGCATAGCATATGGAGATAGTGAGGAACAGCTTAGCAGAGTCAAACGCCAACACTCAGATCTGGAAAGTTGCAAATAAAACCACGCACTTGATTACGAAGAATGAAAAATAACTGTCAGATGCATCAGGAGAGACTGCGTGTGGTACAAAAAGGCAAAGATTGGCATAACTCGGTACACTATGGTAGCAGTTGGGAGAACCAATAATAATAAATAAGTGCATGCATACAAACATTAGATTATTAAATATGTGAATTTTAATTGCCAATGACGCATGCTCACTGCACTTGTGTTATTTAAGTTATAAATGAAATTTTCTAACGGAGAAAATGGCAAAAAAAAAAAAAAAAATTTGAGTTGAATTATTCTCGCACGGGAAAAAACCCGTAAAAAATTGTTACAATATTTAAATAAAGTATATATTCAAATAACTTTAATGCACACACACACACATACACATACACACACATACACACATTTAACGAAGAAATAAATATTTAGGTTTCCACAGCTTGAGACGAATGGTTGGCTGAAGACTTTCAATCAACCGACAAAACCCTGACATCAATCATCATTCACTTGCATTTCGTTTATTTCGTTTTTGTTCATTTCTTTTTTTTATTTTTTTTTTACTAACAAACCGTTAAAAACAAACAACCAACTGATGTTAACAGTAAGAATGATAATAATAACAACAACCATAACAATAACAAAGGGGCTTTTAATACCACTGTTGCTACTACTGACTGTTGTTGCTCTTCATCTGTGATGCCCGCTGGTTTTAAGTCCTTCGAGACCAATAAAGTGTTCAGACTCAGAAACATAGTACCATGTTATGGCAGCTTATAAAATGTTTGAGCTTTTTGTAATTCTTATTGTTTTTCTCTTCACTTAAACATTTGACAATTTAAACCATGCCATCGATACATATATACATACATACAACGTATTCAATGCAGTCGACAACAAATAATCCTTTGCTTGATTTACTGGGCTATTCTCTTTACGTATTCATGCATTTCGCTAACATATGCGCAGCGCGATCAAACGTACACTTGTCAATGCTCGTATCAAAAGGTAGAAATGTGTGACGAACGTGTGATGACAATTCGTATGCAAAGTGCAATTATTACACGTCGTCGTATATGCGCCCAATCCTGCTACTTCGTTATTTATATATTTTTTTTTTATATTTTCTCTTCTGAAAAGAAAAGTTGTATGTATTTCGTGGGTAGGTAACTGAAAACGAAGAGAACGTTTTTTATTTTCGTTATACGCTTTACCAAAAAGGTGACCCACCGAAGGTGTGGAAGGCGTTCTGCAATCCAGGTCTAAGGCCAGCTCTAAAAGCCGGTCTTAATACTACAAATTTCATAATATCTTCCTTTTTTCTTCCTACACAGTAAATAGTAAACAGTGAGGCCGATACCGATGGATACCATTGAAGAATAAAACAAAAAATAGGTCAATAAATCCACAAAAATTTTAATAACGTCACTTGCGTTCTTTTCATAGTATTGGAGAACCTCAATATTCTTTGTTGATTGAACAGGAAAAGCTATCGTTTAATCGATCCTGGTTCCGTGTTTCTGTCTCTTGGTTTCTCCTTACCTCTTTCTAATGGATGCCTGTTGCATGTATAGGGGATATGCCCAGAGTGACGAGTCATTTTAATAAAACAATTTGCGCGAAAGATATTATCATCTTCTCCGCCGCAAACAACAATTTGCCGATATTTGTTAGACGGGGTTGTGAAGTATCTTGAGAATTATCTTCAAGAGTCCATAATTCGATTAGAAAGACATATCTGACAGCGTAAAGGTCCCTAAAGGCAATCTATTCATTATTTTGCGTGCAACTTAGAACATGAGAAAGCTGCTTATCAAATGTGCCCGAAAGGGTGCAGCGCTTACTCACGGAGAGGAGCAGGAACATCGCATCGCAATCGCATAAATTGAAATCCGAATTGCTATCCCAGCCACATTACTCCACAGATCTATCTCCCCACGACTACTAGCTGTTTGCAAGTCGGAAAAAGACGACCTAGAAAACAGGTGTGAACCCAATGATGAAATCATTGCGGATTTCCAATTATGTAATATGTAACAAAAGGTTTACCCTACCCCCCGTTCTAATCAGTAATCGATATGTTTGCCAAACTATTGTTACTACTCAAAAGACGACTAATATTTACATTTAATTTAAGTCGTAAGAAAATATTGAAGAATTGGAAGAAGCTGTAAGTCATTCAAAGAAGTAATTAGGGACCATTTTAACGCTTTCTGGTCACCTCAATCATGTCCCTACAAAATTTATAATAAGCGTAAATATTAGTTTCGATTGGAAAGTTTTAAGCACAACTTTTTTTTTCTTAAAACATACTAAGCAGAAGTAAATAACATCAACAACAAGTAACGTGCATTCGCAAGCATAAAGCTTACAAACGCCACTGGTAACACTTATTTATATTTGTATATAAGTAATAAAATGCATTTGTAAGCCATCTCTCTGGACCACCTTAACCTACAAGTTGACAATTTTTTCCAATGAGCCCAAAAAAAAACAACAACAACAAAATCCAACTTTTCGAATACTAACTCATATTGATTGACAGTTGAATTGAAAAGCATTGATGACATTTTTTACCTTATGTGATTGCTACAAAGTTTAACTAAATGAGAATTCAATCCGACAGACACATTAATGCATTATTTTATAGATGTGGAAAGGCGAATATGCGATTTTCTTTAGTAATATGCAAACAATTGCGGAAACATTAGAGCGAAAAGGAGCATTTTATGAGAAGCACAAGCTCAAGAACGAGTTGCTGCTACAAAGCTGCGATGAAACGCCATTTCAACAGAAATCGGCTAAAGAATTTTTAAAAGTAGTAACGATATGAAAGGAAACACTGTTTTTTTTTTTTTAACCTTGCGCAGGCCTATCAATCGATACAAAATTGGAAATTCCGTCCTTTTCTTCATACTATTAAAAATATTATTAATAATGACAATGAGCAACAATGTACGCAGTGTACACAAGTGGATGTTAATCAGTTGTTTCTTTCTGTGTTTTCTTTTTGGTACATGTCTCTTCTAAAATTTCTACTAACTGGATGCAATTTTACAAATTCATCGAACCGTGAGCAGAAGCGACAATAACAATTGCACTACTTTTATACGAGGTGCTCTCGAGTTGCAAGTCAGTAAAACGTAAACGTACTGAAAAACAAGAAGAGAGTAACAAAGTCGAGAACAGAACATAAATTTAAAAAAAAGAAAAGGAAAGAAAAGAAAAGAAAAGAGGTGAAGAGGGAAGACTGGAGAAGAATGGGAAAGAAAAAACGAATTAAAAAGATAAGTAAACAGAAATATTGTTGAATGCTGACCACATCATACAAATAGGAACGATAGCCACAATAGTGAATGGTTAGCTAGCTGGTAGCTGATATATTTCACGATTGTATTAACATTTCGATAACATTCTTATTACTAATTTAGATGGAGAAAGACGAAAGTCTTAAAGCACTAGGACCTGCGACTGACGGCTTTATTGAAAACTCTACCGCACTTGAAATTTGAACATACGACCATTGAGCTTTTAGTCGAAATTCTTTGCCTATTCGACCACGCAGACGGATTTCGGTGCCGCGATTTACAAGTTATTGACAAAAATATAAGATTCATCCGATAATATGAAAATCGTAATAACAGAGGTTTGTCTGATGATTTGAGTTAAAATTGAAAATTATTTCATTAACTAAACCAACAAATTAGTTTATCTTTCGCAAGAAACCGAGGGTCAACAGTTTCAGCTGTTTGTGCTTAATCCATTATTAATTCTAGGACTTATATCTTTAGCCTAAATAAAGGATAACTCAATGAATTCATTATTCGTTTTTTCATAAGTGTCTTAACTAAATACACACTTTTTCGTACTACTCGTGCACGCGTTGCTAAACGATCTCCGTATATGTTATATAAATTAAGGCAACACTTGTAAAGCAAACTTTTCTCGAAGTGAGACAAAGATGAAAGTGAAGGTTATCCATTTCACTTTATATACATAGCATAACAAAAGCAATTAATGCTCTAATTAATCCATTAGTAAATAGTAGAAACGTTTAGAAAGAAACCATTATAAGAAGCTATTACTATTAAGATACCTAGACATTAGTGGTCCACTACAGAGATACAATTAGTCAGTAGCAAAACTTCCGTTAACAATGACACTATGCAACGGTGTATGGATTTCCATGTTAGTTTGCTTTTGGTCTCAAGTGATTAGTGTATATCATAGTGATTTTGTCACTATAAGAATGAAAATGAATCTATTAAAATTAGACGATAGACGTGACAATAACGTGGATATTTTAAAGTGCGATAGTAAGTCGAAGCGATCGTTTCAACTAAGATTTCAACCCCATGACACAATGCCGCGTTTATTTTGGCATAAATTAGAACAAAAACAAGAAACAACACCAACTGTCACGGAAATGGAAATGGAAACTCCACCGGCAACCTTAACATCGGAACAGGAAGCGATCACCATGCCAATGGAAGAAATGTCGTCTGCCAGTAATGATTTGCCTACATCCGATACAACAACAACAACAACAACAACAACAGTGACAACCACGAGCACTTCTTTTAATTCGACGATCATCGCATCGCAACCTCCATCGATTCCGGCAACTTTTACTACTATTATGAAACCAACACCCGGGTTGTCTACCAAATGGACTGAAAAAGTGAAAAATCTCTTCTTTGGTTCCCCGGGCCAAATCCATCTTCTACAAAAGCACGGTGACAGTAGCGGCAAAATTAGAAGTAAAGGATTTCTCAGCTTATTTGAGGTGATTAAATTTGATAACAGCAAATGTAACGTGTCGACGGGCGAAATACGCTCAATGGAAGGTGTATGTTATCACGAATTTGAATGCAAGACTTTCGGGGGCATAGCTACTGAACGTTGCGCTGATGGTGCTGGGGTTTGTTGTATATGTAAGTAAACCGTAAATTGCTTTTAGAAAAACTATCTTCTTCCTGTCATTTAAATTTAGTCCTTACTGGTTGCGGTGATACGACTGATCAACCGATAGCATACTTTGAAAGTCCCAAGTATCCTCAACCAGTTCACGAAATGCTTATCTGTGTCCTCATTATAAATTTGCGCAAAAATGTTCAACAGTTGCGTTTGGATTTCTTAACATTTGAGGTCTGCCCGTCATTTCCTACAGTCAACTTTTGTCCTTCATTCAAAGCTTTGTTTTTCAGCTTAGCCGTCCAACCGATGGTGATTGTCTAGAGGATCAATTTACCATTTCTGGTCAAAACATTAACTTCGAAGTGCCTACTTTGTGCGGTGTTAATACCGGTCATCACAGTAAGTAAATTTAAGCAATGGGGCCATATGACCGATGCTCATCATCTCGATAATTTTACTCAAAAATACATTGAAAGTTTATGCTGGTTTTGATTTTCTTACCCGAAAGATAGCAAGCTCTCTCTATGTTAAATCCGATAGTAATTTTTAAATGTTTTCTATTGTTACTTATTATTGTGATTTCAGTCAAGTTTCTTAGACGCTATAGACGCTTTATTTTCAACGAAATACTAATTAGTTAATTTTTTTTGAATTGTCCTTCAGTTTATCTTCACGTTAGTAGTAGCCTGGATGGAAAAATCTACTTATCTTTTCTTGCAAAAGTTCCATCAGGAGCGAGAATATTCAATATAAAAATTTCTCAGGTAAGAACAATAATAATTAAAAAAGTCATCAATGCGCACTTGAAACTTTACTGAACTTACTTACATCATTTATTTGATAACAAAAATTTCAAGTCATACCAATAATATTATATAATCCTGTAATGCTAATGGAAATGGGAAAACCTATGAAAATCATCAATTTCCTTTTTGTAAAGCTAAGGGTTAATGAGTCGCCTGCTTTCTGCTTATAAACCACAAAGTTGCCGCATAGACGAGTAAATCAGTGTCGCGACAACCAAGTTGATTTTCACGGATTCGTTCAAGTGCAGTGGATCATACTTGGCGTTAGCTACACTGACCGCTCCGCACCGATTCTCCTCTAGGCTGCGGCCAGTTTCCATTTGTTTTTCCTTCTTCACTTCCTCCTGACCACACGTACAAGGGCATCTCCTGAGAAAGCTAAGCTTTTCTATCTTAATTTATTACAAATTTTTTTTTTTTTTTTGCTTTGGAAGATCTTTAAATGCAACACTGCTTGAAACTTATTAAGAACGTAATTTCTTCTGGCTTTCCTTTGCGGCAAATTTGCCTATGTTTCCTTTACATTTGATTGTGACGGATTTGTGTACATAAACGTTAATCAATATGACTTTGAATTTTGTAACAGTTGGAACCCAGGGATAATATAGCACCCGATGGCTGCTTACAGTACTATACAGAATCGGAAGGCATTGTAAAATCATTCAATTATGACATTGAGTCTACAGCAGTTGCCAATAAAGAAGCCACTTATTTAGTAAGCCTTAAAAAGTTTTATTTAGTTTTTAGATACTCTTCCGTTAGTTGCTTTATAATCATTTAGAATAATCTCAACTACGTGATTTGTATCAAACGATCGAAAAACTCATGCACGGTTAACTATGTGGTGGAACGCGGTGTGGATATTCGCGGCAACGGAGAGCAAATGGATTTTCAAATTCTTAATAAAGATGAAGGTTTTAAAGGAAAAATTTAAGAAAAAATATTATATTTTCTCATCAAATTCTTTTTTTTGTTTTTTTTTTTTTTTATTTTTTGTTTGTTTGTTTGTTTGTTTGTATGCGCGTCTTATTCGTGTATTAGATGAAAACGATTTAGTGCCCGATGGGCAGGCTGGCGCTGGCATCTTCAATTGTCCCTATGACTTCATAGCCATCAATCAGGTGCGCCTTTGCGGTGAACGTTTTAATGATGGTACGGATAATGAAGACTTCACCATGAATGCGCTGGTAAGAGATGTCGCGGCGGGACCAATTATATTGCCCTTTCGCAGTGATAACATGTATGTGGGCCGTGGCTTTCGTTTGGCTTACAAACAGGAATTGTGCACTTAACATTTTTTACAGTTACAACGAATGAAATTTTATTAAAAAAAAGATAAAAACTAAAAAAAAAAAAAAAAGGAAAAAAAACTAACAAAAAGTTCGCGTTTGCATTTCGCATTTATTGTGTTTATGGTTTTTGGCACTGATGAGGCCAAAGCGAAATTGTGGATGATGTTATGGAGGTTTTCCACTTGTTCCAGTTACGCTGATTTACCTCTAATCCCCGTCACGCGATCATGGGAATCGCAACATGTGTTTATTTCTCTGTCTCTCTGCCTATTCTTTTCCGCTTAATCTGTGTGAGCGGCAAAGAAAGACTAACGTTTGTCATACAGTTCCTCATTCAATTCATTTGCCTTTAATCCTTGCATTTATAATTCCAACCAAATGAGAACAAAGATTCCCATCTGCATATTAAATAAATCGGCAAAAAAAAAAAAAAAAAAAAAACAAATACAAAAATACAAAAAAAAAAAAGAAACATATTAAAAATGCATGACTTTCTGGCATAAGCAAAACGAAAATCCTAGGTCGTCGCCCAAAATTGTGTTTGAAGCGTTGTTTGATTTGATTTTTCGCCACAACATAAACCATATCAACGGTGCCACCCACATACACTTAACAAACAAAAAAAATAAAAAAAAAAAAACAAAAAATGAAAACGACAACAACAGTAACAAAGGTATCATTTCGTATTCAATGTTTGATAGCTACAGCAGACAAACACCCTCACTTTGAATATTTTATGCTTGTAAATATATGCATATAAGCAGACTGTTGGTATATACATTACCATAACTGTGTTTTCTCGATCTCTTAGTAACCGATTAACGGATTTGTATTCCAACTCTAACTATCACCTTAAAAGTTCGCAGTTCACTGTTGACAGGTTTCTTAGTTGTTCGTTTCTTTTTTCATTTTCAGTGTCTTTTCTGTTAATTCTCAATTCAGTTGTTAGTCGCAAAGTACAAAGCAACAAAAAGATCTATGACGAAATTGATTGTATTTCTTCAAAACGTTTGACTTGATTGCTTTTGCTTTTTGCTCATTCTTTTATTTCACTAAAATACATTTTATGAAAATTTTCATTTTTAAGCCCACGCCTATGCATATACATTTTGTTTTCGTTGATTTATGTATTTTATGTATGTAACCCTTGTCATCTTAGCGGTGCTTTTTTACATGGCTAATGAATGACATTTGCATATCAATTGCTATCTGCTGCAGTTAACGGATGTTGTGTGAAATACATTTGGTTAAGATGCGATATGACGCTAAAGGGAAAAAAGTGTCATCAGTTACTTTACATCGTACCATGTGCAGCTCTCGCCCAAAATCTGACATAAACATGTCGGTCTTATTATATCATACAATACTCGAGTTCCGAGCGATGAACTCGTGATATGTAAATTCTGAACTGTTTTAGCAACATTTTCTGAGAGGTTCCTCATTAATATTCTTTCCCCATAGTTTTAGTCTTGCTTGTGGATACGCCTCATGAAACGATGAGATGTGACAACTTGAAACACAAATAAAGCCAAGTGTCCTATAAAAGTTGCAAAAACTATCATAGCATAGTTTGAGGCAAAATTTGTTCCAAATGCATTCCTGTTAGGCAGAACTACAGAGCTCTTCACAAGTCATACATGATTTGTTCACTGGCGCATTGCACTTCCTTCCTTAGTTGGCTCATTTCAATATCCACAATTACCCATCGGGTATTCCATGGAAAGTTGTAGCAATAGAGTTGAACTTAATAAAGCTTTCGATGTCGAAAAGACAAGAGGACAAGCTACAATCCCTTAAACTTGGGATGGAAAACAATGCCGCAATACCGTTATCACAGCTACCAGGTCGGTGTTCATGGATTCAAATCAATTGCAGCGAGCACTTAATTGATGAAGGCACTCACGAGTGTGCGGGTCACCTCTATTCCTTTCTATCTTTCCCTGTGATCGATTATAACAAAAAAAAAAAAAAAAAAAGAGTGCATTATTCCCACTCGATTCTAAGCAACGCCTATAGAGGCAATTTCCGATGAGTATTAAGCAGTACCAAAACATCCCGATCCAAGCAGTCGTTCCAATTCTTGCAAACCTCTTGCCATAATCGCGATGGCAATAGGTTAGATAGATAGTCTCCTTTATTAAAAGCGCACCCAAACCAATAAAAGAATTATTATTTTCCAACTGTTTAGCTTCGTTTAGTCCATACGTAACGTACGAGATGTTTTTGATTATTATTATTATTAATATTTATTTGTAATAAGTTTTTTTCCTCCTAAAAAACTCTTCACCTTCGAATATGTATCGATTATAAAAAACCATTTAAATGAAAAAGGAGTAGAAATGAAAAGAAAATTAGAAAAAAAATACTGCTCTTTAAAATAAAATTAAAAAAAAAAAAAAAAATAGCTGCCAATAACGCAAACATTCTAATGCAATAAATTCGATTGCATAAAGCTTACGAAAAACGAAACCTACATTTAGTTTATGATCTGCAATAACAAAAGCAAAACAACATCGACTGCCATAACATCGATGAATGGTATAAGCATGAATAAATATGTAATAAATGCGCAGCGCCAAACCGTGCCTGGCAACGCCCTCTGCGACAGTTACATTTTGAAAGCAATAAATGGAAAAAAGGTAAAATGAAGAAACACCATTTTTTCTTTTGTTTCTGTTTTTTTTTTTTTTCTTTTTTTTTTGTAAGTATCGTTGATATCGATGTCAATGCTGATGACGATGGTGGTGGTGATGAAGTTAAAACAAGAAAAGGTTGAAGTTGTTTATGAAGCGCTAAACTTATAAAAACAAAGGAGGAGGCGGAGGGGAAGAGTATAGCGGCAATTAATAGATCAAAGAATTTTATTATTTGCATTTTTTTAAGATTTTCTTAGAAGAAAGATTCCAAAGATAAGAGTTTCGTTTACTTCGCTGACAAAAAAAAAAAATGTAATTATAAAATTGTAAATAGCATAAATGCCAAAACAACAACATAAAAATGAAAATTGTTAAGACGTCATTTTTAATCGTTGTATTATTAGGAGCGCATTTTTATTGAAAATCGATGTTAATCAGACGTCGCTAGACAATTGAATGTTAAATATAATAAGTTTTTCCAACACAAATCTGAATCAAGACTGATAACATTTTTGGATATCAAATGCAAAGTAATTGGCGTAGTGCTGTTAATTTGAAGATAACGATGTAGTTAGGAAGCAAGAGAATTTCTCTTAAGAACTTTAAATGGTGTTAACGCTACTACCAGCACTGGCGCTACTGTTACTCCGTCATATTCGTTGTTGACGATTGCCAACGAATTAAAATAAATTATTTAGGACTCGCAGTAAACCAAAAAAAGAAGAAAAAAAAAAGTGAAAAGCAAGACAACGTCATGTCGAGTTTGAAAGCGACCATTAGTCCGCGATTTAGTTAAGTTTTTGAAGCTTAATTCGACCAAAAAGGAAAAACAGTTTTCAATTGCGTCGAGAAAACGTAGAGCATGTGACGCAAGTTGTGTAAAACGATTTATGCTAACAAGGCGGAAATTTTAAAATAGTTTTTTTTTTTTTTGCCTCTAGAATAAATCTCTCATTTAACAAAGACTTTGCAAAAGTCAAATATTTTTTCTTTTGTGGTTATTAGCAAGAAAAACAAAAAAAAGGAAAAAATTGAAACAATGTTCGGCCTATTGTCTTGATTTCGTACTTAACATTTTAAATTATTGTTTTTTATTTCAATCTATAAATTTTTTTTAATTTTTGCTTTAGTCTCTGCCATCATAAAATCATTGACATTTTCCTATGTGTTGACGTTATTATAAAGGAAAAATAACAATTCCTATATTTAAATATAGACGCGCCCTTGTTAGTCTTCTTTAATCAGAGATAGACTTAAACGCATACACATACATACACACATACATAGTCCACACAATTGCAAGCTTCTCATAAACGATGACGTCTTTCTTTCGTTACAACATTTGTTCTTGTTTGTGTATTTTGTGCGCTTATATTAAATTTATTTAGAAGAAACCCCACCCTGCGTATGAATTCCAATTACACACTTATTTTGTTGCGAAGAAAACAAAAGCAAGTGAATGAGTGAGCGATATATGCGATATGTGCGTCTGATATAGTGTGTGTGTGTGTGTGTGTGTGTGTGTGTGTGTGTGTGTACATAGTAGTGTACAATGTGCAGTGTGTTGAAAAGAAGCACTTAATGACCTTAAATGTCAACAATGTGTGTTTGTGTGGTCAAGTTGTTTTCTATATTCTTTTATATTTAATTTTCTTTCATATTTATTCTTTTAAAAGGACACTGATGTATATCTTCTCATGAAAACGTATATTAGAATATTTGATTAATGGCAACAGAGTGAAAGTTGCGGTACTTTTGCTTTTATTTAAGAGAAAACTCCTTCAACCTTTGGTATCTTTGGTAACAGGAATTGATTTACCTTTAATTACTGCATTTAATCCTAAGTGAATTCATATTAAAAGCAACCATTTATACTTAAATTCGGAGAGTATAAGATTTATGAATACCAATGATTGAAATACGATATGCTTCGGTCACACGCACTGTCCTTCATTTTGTATACCATACATGACATACATTCATTCTAATCAAAAGTACAAAATCTGACGACCATTTTAGCTAATGCCTTAGTGTGTGTTTTTCTTTGTGTCTTCCAAAATCGCGTAAGGTACATATAGGACATGTAGACTACGATCCAAAGGATTCGTATACAACCAGAAAACCATCGATGGTCCGATCCCAATATTGAAAAAGCTTCATACGAAGTGATCATAAAGTTTGAAAATTTAATATGACTGACATTTAATACATAAGTGGAGGTGCTTAGGACACGAACATATAGTCTTTATACGTAAAACATGCACGCAGACATAGAAATTTAGTGACAAGATTCAAGCTTGTTATATAAAGACTCACCCAGTTAAGGGTTTATGTGAACATATTTAGGTGTGAGTGTAAAGGCGC